TAGTGAGGGGCCCAAAACTGTACACAGTATTAGAGGTGTGGACTCACCAGTGCCAAGTACAGGGGCACAATCACCTCCCTACTGCTGGCCAAGCTATTTCTGATACAGGCCAGGATGCTGTTGGCCTTCTTGGCCACCTGGGCACACTGCCCGCTCACCTTCAGCCCGCTGTCGACCAGCACCCCCAGGGCCTTTTCTGCTGGGCAGCTTTCCAGCCACACTGCCCCAAGCCTGGTGTGCTGCATGGGGTTGGTGTGACCCAAGCGCAGGACCTGGCACTTGCCCTTGTTGAACCTCATAGCCTTGCCCTCAGCCCATCGACCCAGCCTGTCCAGGCTCCTCTGCAGAGCCTCCCTACCCTCGAGCAGATCAACTCTCCCACCCAATTTGGTGTTATCTGCAAACTTACTGAGGGAGCACTCAATTCCCTCATCCAGATCATCGATAAAGATATTAAACAATACCAGTCCCAGTACTGAGCCCGGGGGATCACCGCTTGTGACTGGCCACCAGCTGGATTGAACTCCATTCACCACCACTCTCTGTGCTCAGCAGTCCAGCCAGTTTTTAACCCAGCTTAGTGTGCACCTGTCTAGGCCATGAGCTGCCACTTAGAGACGAAAAAGGTAAAGACGGTAACTTGATATTATCATGAAGCTAACCATGTGTTAAATCTGCCTAGCCCCTGTAGTCTTGAGATGCAGAAGCAAATTGGTGCTGGGTCACATTAGAGGAACGGAAGCTGAAATATGTTTGCACTGTTACAGCTGCAGTATTGCAATGCAGTTACAGCTTGATGTGCTCACTGCTTGTACTCTGTTATAACTAAACATTAAATAGTCAAGCTTTCTTGGAACAATTTTCTTCACTGTTAAAAGAATGTCACGGTTCTGCTGAAGAGTTTGATTTTTCTAGTAATAGTATTATTTAATGAGGGAGTTTTGCTTTATACCTTTTACCAGATAATTAAAAGCACAAGCTATACAAAGAGCCTATAACTTGTGGTTGTCTGTGCTAAGATGGATTCTGTTGCTGTACCACACCCACAAGTTTCCTGTGTGCGTGTTTCCATCTGACACCAGTATCTGAGATTCCTTGCAGGTTTCCTTGGTGTCTGACCCCATGTCATGTGTATTGCACTCTTGTCCTCCTTTTTCACAGTACTGATCCTGTGATCATCTTTGTTCTTATTCTGTCACAGGTTTGTCTTGCTTCAAGCTTAGTCAGTGATAATTATAGCTTTTCCAAACTCATTCGTTCTGCATCGCCTTTCTTGTTATATTATTTCAACTGTAGGAGTTAATTTTCCACCCCCAGTCTGTAACTCTTCAGATAACTTTTCTGGTAAATTCACAGTATGTTCTTCTGACACTTGTCTTTTAGGAGTAATTGTAAGTAGGGTACAGATTCTGTTGTACGTAGGTATGGATCCCAGTCAAATGTGTTAGTCTTTCTATATAAATGAATTTATAACGATTTTCTGGAAACTGACTATAAATATGCTTGTTGTATCTCTGTGCTCATTATGTACTGTTTGTTTCTAAGGTAGTTATCAGTGCTATTTCTTAATTGGCACCAGTTTTGCAAGGCAACCAATATTGGTTTAGATCTGTACTTTGGATATATTTTAAAACAATATTGTACCCTACTCGCTTTCCTTCTCCACCCTGTTGTAGTAATGCCTCAGAGTACTCATGTGATACCTGCCGTGTCAAATTTCCCAAATGTTTCATGTATTTTAGGTGTTTTCTTTCAAATAAATATTAGATCAATTTTCCTCCTCTCCTCTAAATAATTTACTTTCTTGCTGGAAAACAACTTTGTTAAATTACTGTGTTTCCGGTGCAGTTTCAGTTAGTTTTGTTCACTCTTGCCTTTTCTTTAGAACCTGTTTTAAAGTGAGAGCTAAACCTGCAAAAGATTATTCATCGGTGTGATTAAATGTTTGTGGGATTATAAGAGTGAGCATGTTTGACGTTGGGTAGATAATGATCCCTCAGGATAGGCCTTTGTGCACATACACAGAGTACAGGTACTGTACAGGTGCTCTGAAGACCGTGGATCAAGCCTAAGTGGAAGCTCTTGACTCTTTCAGGTATTCTGAATGACTCAATTTATATCCACTTGTCCTTCACAAAAAGAAATCCTCATGAGGCTGCGCAATGCATTGACCATATGAAGAAAAAAAAATTGTCAGAAAATAACAGAGTAGAAACTTTGAAAATGGAAGCGCTTAATGACCAGCTGAAGCAAAATCCATGGCCTTTGGAAAAGAGCATATTTGAGAGCCTACCTCCTAGACTTCGTAAAGGTACATTATTCAGACTTTCATGTAATTTTGAATGGCCAACTTTGATTTCCACCCCGCCTCCCCCTGCTTACTCTAGCATAAGATGCTATTTCTTATAACTGCCTTTCAAATTAAAGACTAGCCCAACCCAAAAAAGTTCTTTAATTACTTATTAAATATGAACCTGTGCATTTTGATTTAGCTACAGAAATAAGATTGAAGCAGGAGGAAGGAGCTACATTCAACACTGCAGCATCGTGAATTGAATTCTCATTTGGTTTTGGACAAACTTTGTATGTGCACAGTATTTTTGTAAGCATATATTTCACACTGAAGCTGAACCTCAAATCCAAACACTGGTTATCTCCATCTTGTTTTAAAAACAGACTTCTGTAGACTTCTAATTCTCTGGCTTTCCTGGTTTTTTAATAAGCTGTTAATAGACCAAGCCCACTTTTGGTATTTCCTTAATCTATAACTTTTATCAAGGTTTTTTTGTGGATGCTGATGGGTATTTTCAAGATCTGGAATTTGTGATCCCAGTGACCTAGGAGAACAAGATTTGAAGTGTGATATTTCTTGTGACTATATGGAACAACTGGAATATGCAGAACTCTAGAATTTAAACGAACTCCTTAGTTACAGAGTTTCTAACAAGACAGGAGTATTATCTAAAATACATAAGTATTTTTGGAGAGGTGAACTTTACATCCTCTTATTATAAATTAATTCATAGACTTACTGCTTAAAAGTTCTGGGTAGTGCCTTTTGTCCCTGTGGTATGAGTCTGTATTTCCCATATTTTAAAATAGCATAGAGAAGGTTTATGGTAAGAATGCCTTGAGATGAATTCTTCCATTTTTCTATCTAAGCCTTATTGAGTAACACTTGATAATGCTGACTGAAGATCACCAAAGTTTGAACAAATTATTGAAACTGTTTTCAAATAGTCTAACATCTTTTTCAAAAATAATTATTCTTAAGCACTGCAGGAAGCTTGCAAAGAACAGAATGGGTTCTACGCTCAGTTCTCTAAACTCTTCCCAATGCGGGTGATATCCTATCTGATGCTACCATATACACTACCAGTGGAGTCTGCTTACTCTGTTGCTTTACGGTAAAGAACTCTTAATGAATTTCTTTCTGAAGTCAGGAGTGAAAACCAGGTTGTGCTCTTGAAACAGGGCTTAATTTTATAAGTGTTTCATTTCTCATAAAAGAGAAATTATGCTAAATGAATGCACCATGAACCCTAAGCTTTATGCTTGCTTAAGAGAATTCCAGTCCTTGAACAACAGATGTCATTACTATCTTTAGCAAATACTTTAAAAATCAAATGTTCAGTGAATGGAACCACACAGAATTCCAGTAAAATATTTCATTTCTGTGGCACTTCTGTGCCATTTTTTGGTGGATGGAGATGAAGCAGGTTTCAATAGAATTTTAATGTGTTTTTTTCCCCTTCATCCCCCTCTGGCATAACTGACTTCTGTCAAGAGCATCATAAGGGAAAAAGTATGTTTGTGACATTGTTCTGTTTCTGCCTTCTATTTGTTGTTCCATTGTGCTTTTCTTTTGTTCGTCTTTCCTCTACCATCGAACTTTAAACTGACCAGAAAGTTTCCACCACAGAGAAAGAGGTCTCGGACAGGACTTTTCTGCAGGCTTCCTAAACGTTGGTCACCAGGTGTGGATTGCACATGCTGGTCAGGTGCTCTGCATAAATCAGAGATGCAGTTGTCCGTCCTGCCATTTTTTCTTAGCTTGTAGAAAAGCAATGAGTGGGCTAGAGGGAAATTTAGAGAGGTTGGAAAGATCTGGAGACTTTGATGGGGGATTTAACTTGGGGAAAATGAAAGCTGTGTTATTTGGTTGGATGTTGGACATGGTATGTAAGAATATAATGCAGGTGAGATCTACGGCTTTCAAAACAACAAGTGTATTTTTGTTTTTTGATTGTAGATTAGTAAACTGGTTTCCTGACATGCCTGCTGATGTTCGGTGGATGCAAGAACAGCTTTGTCAGATTGCTGGTACAGTTTATTCCCAGGCTAAAAGCAAGCTATTCTGTACATCCAGGTAAAGTGGAGTGCTGCTGGATGCAAACGATGCATTTTTAGAAATTCTCTCTTTTGTCACAACTTCAAGTACTAATAAGTTTCTCTCTTAAAACAGGGTTTGATAATTTTCTCAAAGGTAATGCAAACCAGTTCTCACTGCTTCTAATCCTTAGCATTGTTTCTTAAGTATATTTTCTGGTGCTTTTTGTTTCTAACTCATCAATGACTGCTACACATTGTAGATGAAGAGGTGCTGCTGGTTGGCAGGCTTATGCTTTCGGGGGAGAGGGGTGGGTTATGGAGCAGGCATTGGACTGAGAACAGAGAACTTGTCTCCTCTGCTCCACAGTAGCTGGAGCGATCAGGAGGAAAAGGTTGCTCAAGATGTTCTAGATCAGATGTAGCAGGTAGGAACTGGAAAACATTGGGAGAATTGCTAGATTCTTAGGAGTCTGGACAGGGAAGGTTGTAAGACTGAAAGTAAATTAATATGAAGGACAGTCTTGTAAGATAGTTGGGAAGAAATAACACACATGGAAAACTTTTAGGAACCTGTAATTCTGTGGAAGAGAAACCTCTAACCTGATTCTAACTAGGTTCATTTTACTTCTCTTACCAAACTGATGTGAGATTCAGCCTTTCAGAATTTTTACTTCTGTTAAACTTTGTAGCACTGTGTGTGGAGGAATTGGTGACAACTCACCTCAGTATGAATCAAAGAATACCATTACTGTTTCACTTTCTGCTGGGGAGTGTAGTATTTGCCCAAGGAGCTCTGCGAACTTTCACAAAATGAATGGAGGCTAATATTCAGCTTAGACTTCCGTGCTAGAAAATGGACTTTGCTGGAACAGAGTTGCACAGACATGTCAGAGTAGTGCTATAAACAGAGAAACAACGTTGCTGTCTGAGGTCCAAATGCTTGTAAATACGATGTCTCCTAAGATTTGGTCTGAAAAGGTATAAATTCAGACTTCTGCAGAGTAGGTCATGTCTATTTTACTGTAATTTTTCTGATGATTGTCTCAACTCCTGGAGTTGCTGGGTAGGAGGTAGAAGAAGGGGGAGAGAAATTAGCCCAAAAAGCTATTAGCAGTGAACAGAATTCTTAAATGCTTGATAAAAGCTTCTGAGAGAGCGCTGTAGCACTGGACTCATGACTGCAGCAGTCATTTCAATGAAAGCATTGCCATGTTCTATATACAGCACGTTTTTAAAATAAAACAAAAAATACCCTTTTATTTGAGCCATAAGTCTTTGAGCTTTTGCCTTCCTGATCTTTTTGCCCTGGCAATGCTATGCATTGGCCAGTCAGCCATGCAGGTTTTGATATGTCTGAGAAGAACTGCTTGCTCCTGCTTCCTTCTAAGAAGTTGTGCCAGGTTCTGGATTGGCATTGTGAAAGATCCGATCCATGTGCTCCATCCCTTAGAAGTACGGAGTAGTCAAACTTTTCCTGTGAAGATTCTGGCTTAATGGAAAACTTAATGAGGTTCACCCTTGGGTTTCCTTCCCCCTTTGGAAGTATTAAATGGTGGCTTTAATATTAGGTTGTAAAGATAACTTCCTTTTTACAATATTCCGTTTTATCCAAAGTTCAGAAGCATTTAATTCTTGGATACAAACAGCCTCTCTTCTCCTTTCCTGAAATCAGTTAAAGCCTTTTCTTGTACAACATTGGTTAGCTTTTAATGCCATCTCTCTGAGCAGAAATGCAGTTCTTGATATAGATTTGCTATCACCCTACTGTCATCTCTTCAGTTATTTGATACCACATGTAATCCAGTGTCCTCTTTTCCTTCTTTTCTTAATGATATTTCTGACTCCTTTCCACAATAAATTTGGGTATAATGATTTTCCTGCTTTTAGCCTTGTTTAGCAGCTTCTTGATGTTGCTTATATTCCATCCAGGCTTACCAGTCTTGAGACTCTTCATCTGAAATGGGCATTTGGAAGGCACACAGTCACAAGACTGTCTCAGATGGAACTTCTCAGAGGGGTTATTTGGTCACTGACTCATGATTAACCAGAAATACTGTTTTCTCTTCTTGTGGAAAGAGCAAGCTCTTGGCCATAAAAACTGAACATGGTGGTAATGTGGCTTTTGCTCTGTGCTTCTATGATAACTTCAAGGTGATCAGCTCCCACTGAATTGTTTACACTGTCGAACTTCTAAGTTTTCTGAAGCCTTCCTTTTAAGTGGATTCCCTCTTCAGGTAGCTGGGTCCCAAGGCTCTGTATGTAGAACCCTGCCCTGTATTCTGCAGGTGACTCTTTGTGGGCTTGTCCTTTGTTTCAACATCCACTGAGAACTTACTGCTGCTTTTGCAGAAAGTAATCCTCCCCCCTCGCCTTTTTTTTTACACTCTTCCCCTTATGTCATCAGGTCTAGCTTCTGTTTTGGAATCAACCTTAAATCTCATGAAAATTTGCACTGTTTACAGTTTGAAAATCCTTTTAGGAAACTTAACCTGATGGATGATATCTTCTAGTGCACCTAAACTTCAGGTATGGAAACTGGTGTTGAAGTGTGTGTATGGCTAGTTGGGTTCTTTGTGTGTGAGAGGGGGCGTTGCGGGTTGTTTTGGGTTTTTTCCCAAAAGCACTGCAAGAGAGGAGAGTGAGCTTTAAAAAAACCAACCAAACAAACAAAACAACCAACAACTGGGTATTCTTGGTGACAGCTTTAGTCTCCTGTTTTTCAAATAGGAAAAGACTAACCTGGTGATTCAGGTGCTGTTTTAGAGCGTAGGAAAGATCTGTTCAGGTTGATGGTAGCTGGCTGTGAAGTGGAATGCAGAGATGGCATTTGGGAAGTTGAACAACTATTTTTGCTACACAACTCGAGACTGTTGTTGTTGATGTTCAGTTAGTGCTGTGATGGGTAAATTGGCAAGTATTCCAGGTGGATAGCTGGGGGCAGATCAGGACTATTTAAGAGGTAATGTACAGACCTGGGTCTACTCTTCTGAACTCATCAGAATGGTGTGACTTTTAGTGTAAGTATCTTATACCTACTTCTGAGGACAACACATAATGGCAGAGTGCCCCTCTTTTAGACATGATCGTTTCAAGATCCTTTTCTTGTTGTCCCATATCTGAACCCGCTAAATGCATTTAGAATTAACTAATTTCCTTAAGTGTTCTTCCTTGTGTGAAGATTCCCTGCCAGACATCTGAACAGTAAGAGAAGTGTCTTTGAAACACTAATATCTTTCTCTTGTTCTTTTTTTAAACAGGAAAGACAATTATGCATCACTAAGAAAATGTCAAACTGTCCCGTCTGCTATGGAATTTCATTCTTCATACTGCCACCTTAAAATGCCTCACTCTTCTGGGGACCTTGAAACCTGGCTCTGGGAATCTTCATGCTTCATGCACTCAGCTGTGAAAAATGCTTCTGCTATCATGCAGGAGCGTTCAGACTTAAACTCCTGTCCTAACTTTCTCCCAAATTCTGATGAGTCTGGGTTGGAAATAGATTTTGACTCTTCCTCAGAGACAAGTTTCCAGACTGCTCCAGAGTATTAATTTGGAAGTAAGTTCCACAGTTCCCAGAATTCCAATTTGGCAGAGAAATTTAAATCCCGAAGGACTAAAATTGACTTTGTTTATTGCCAATAAGTCTCAGAAAAGTAATTGTTTACAGTTTCCTGACAGATCTGCCTTGGGAATTCTTCTGTTCTAAGGATTTTAAAAAGAGTGGCTGCTATACTAAGTAACAGATTTCAATTCTGTCGAAGCACCAGCTCAATCAACTGTAGTAAGACTTGCAGTAAATGGTGTGTCTCTGGAAATTTTTTTTTTAAAAAAACTACTTTCAGAATAAAAATGTAAGTTCTGTAAACAGTTAGACAAACAAGCATTGATAACAAAAGATTTTTAAAAATACAATTCTTAACAGTATTATGTGCTAGGATTACTTTTATAGCACTTAGATGAAATTGGACTTTCACTTCATAAAGGGAAATACACAAATGAGCTTTTTAGTGGCCTCCAGTGTCCATTTGCCTTATGTTTAAATGTACTGTTGTGTTCATGGAAAAGTTGTCTGCATGACATACTGTAGGAACAGCATTATTCTATGTTGTAGTATGTATTCATATTACTTCTCTCTGGCTCCTTCCCTCTTGAAATACTTCAAGGGAAAAAAAACATAAGAAATGGGACATATTCTCCTTGAAGTGTAAATAGATACGGTTTCAGTAATTTCAGAGGACGCTTTTTTTTGGTACTTAATAAGGGCTTAATCCTTGACCAAGTATTGAAAAATAGGTAAAATAGACACTGTGACTAGTAGCAAACAGTAACTTGAGAAGGTGGTAAACTTCACAGATGATGTTAACAAAAATCAACATATAGCAAGTGGTGAAAGATGTTTAGGTCTTCTCTCTGCTGCCTGATTGTT